ATTTATTGGAAGGCTGGTTTTTCGCAGATGCGGGCGGGGAGCCGCATCTGCGGCATCGCAGATGCGGCGTTGGCAACGCAGATGCGGATCTTGGCCAATGAGGGATTTCCGCAGAAGTGGAGTCCGCAGATGCGGACTTTGACCGCAGAAGCAATCCTGGCATTAAGTGGACCTCTGCAGAAGCGGAATATTTCCGCAGAAGCGGATGTCGCAGAAGCGGAAAGTTCACCGCAGATGCGGTAATGACTGGACAGAAGGGTTTTTAAATCATTTTTGTTCCGCGAGTCTAAGTTAATTTTCACCATTGTTGAGCATCCTTGGGAGCTTTTGGACGGGAATTGAAGAGGGTTTCGACTGGGATTGATTGGAGGTGAGTCCTATGATCTAAAAACATGATTTAATTGAAGAATCAACTTAGAAATTCATGAAAATTTATCAAAAAGGGGGGAGAACTAGGGCTTGAGTTTTGATATTTCAAATTGGGTTTTGATGGGTCATTTGAGCTCGGATTTGGGAGTTCTCGATATGTATAGAGTCGTGAGGAGATAAGAAATCTATTGATGTGAAAATTTTTGAGTTTCGAGAAGTGGGCCCGGGGCTCGGGTTTTGCTTATTTCGAGATTCTTGATATTTTTCGATTGTTTTCGATTGGGTATTGTTCCCTTAGCATATTGTTATGTATTCGCTCTGATTTTAGATAGATTCGACGCGCGTGGAGGACGACTTGAGGGGCAAAGGCGTCGCGAGCTAGAGATTTTGCCGGTTCGAGGTGAGTAATGATTGTAAATGATATCCTGAGGGTTTGAAACCCCGGATTGCACATCGTAGTGCTATATTGAGAAGAGACACGCGCTAGATGATGAGTGGGGGGTCTTTTACTACTAGGGATTGTGACTTGGTCCGTCCCGATTGATGATTTTACTGCATATTTGATTGAAACTGCTTTGTTATCATCATGATTTGGGCTGATTGCCATATTTGGGCTTCGCGCCAATTATTTGAACCCATCGGGGATTTTTATCACTATTTCCTCACTGTTTTGACTCATATTGAAACTCAGTCCTGTTGATGGTTATTGTTTTACAAACTCAGCCACTTTTATACAGATTGGAAACTTAAATGATATTTCTAAATGATATTTTGGGCTGAGAACTACTATTTTACTGATGCCGAGGGGCTTGTGATGATTTCTGGACTGAGTGAGGCCGAGGGCCATATGTGAGGATATGCTGAGTGATATGAGGCCGAGGGCCCGAGATACATTTATACGCCACGAGGTGGCTTGAGTGACGTGAGGAGGCTTTCAGGCCTTGTGAGTGATGTGAGGAGGCTTTCAGGCCTTATGAGTGATGTGAGAAGGCTTTCAGGCCTTATGTTGATATAGCGCTTGGGCCGTAAGGGGCCCCTCCGGAGTCTGCACACCCACAGTGAGCGTGGGTACCCATATGATCTGAGGGCTGATACTATGCTGAGTGACTGATACTAAGCCCGAGGGGCTGGTACTGTTTTGAGATATTGCCCGAGGGGCGAACTTTTATTTTGCTCACTTGCATATTTACTTGCCTTTTTACCTAATATGCTGTGGTATTTGTGCCCGAGGGGCGGATCTTCTGTGCTTATCGGCACTAACTGTTTTGAAATTATTTCGTAATTGTTGAAAAGAACATTTTCAAAAGAGATTTAAACTGAGCCAAGATATTTCTAAGGATTTCACAGCTTCACTGCTTTCTCAAAGGATTGTACATTGCTTCTATATAGCATGTTGGTTGCTTTACGTGATTTCTTACTGCTCAGTTTTTATTTACCTTTATTACTCACTAAGTTGGAGTACTCACTTTACTCCCTGCACCTCGCGTGCAGATACAGGTATTTATTTACCCGGTAGCGGGTATTGGCTATGTGGAGGAAGAGCTGTAGGAGTTTAGCGAGGTGACTGCCAGCGTTCGCAGCACCGTTTTCTCTCCCTGTTGTTCATTATTCCTGTTCGTTGTATTTTTAACACCTTGTAGATGTAATTACACTCTTATAGATGCTCGTGACTTGTGACACCCCGGTTTGGGCGGTGTTTGGGTTGTACTTCCGCTAAGTAATGTTATTGAATCATCTTTAAAAATTGATTATTCATGTTTATCTAATTTTGGAAAAGGGCAATTTGGGTTGGTTGGCTGGCCTTGTCTTCATGAGCGGCGTCATCACGACCGGAGCAGGGTTTGGGTCGTGACAAGTTGGTATCAGAGCGTAGGTTACTAGGTCTCACGAGTCATGACCAGGTTTAGTAGAGTCTCGTGGATCGATACGGAGACATTTGTACTTATCCTCGGGAGGCTGCAGAACCTTTAGGAAAACTTTATATTCTTGGAACACTTATCGTGCGTCCTTGATTCAGCTTGAAATGTAACTCTTGAAATCCCTTCCACGCGTTTATATGCGCGCATGAGCGCTCAGAATTAGATGTGCCTTGATGGCTTGTGATTCCCCGATCGAGGGGCAAGATCTCTGTGAGTTTATGTTGGGCCAGTCTGGAGGACTTGAGGCCGGATCTTTGTCTATGGCTTGAGCACCGAGGTGCTGATTGTGTGAACACGTGTTTTGAACTTATATGTTCGGTATTGTCCCTATTAGTGGAAGTGACGGTTGTAACCATGTGATGAGTATGTTAGTACTGCGAGATGTATCTATGTAACTTGTGAGTGACGAGGAAGGTCTGCTGGATGATAGATGAACTACTACGTATGATTTCCATTGTGATTGGATGTGTAGCCCGAGTTATGGGCGTGTGAAGGATCTTTTCATGTTTCCAGTTGATGGTGAAGTAAATTTTATGTTGCGGTACGAGTTCAGACTCAGGAAGACTAAGTAACTGTGTAATGTGTATGACGGTGGAAGGTATGCGGAAATGTCATATTGAGGCGAAGCAGGCGGGTTATCTCTTACGGAGTGTTCTGAAGTGGTGTAATCCTTATGTGTATATTAGAAGATCTCATGTGTAATTGAAAAGTGCGTGTTGAAATTTGAAATTTCGGGTCGCCTAAAGGAGTGGGCTTAGCTGTTGCGGGGGTGAATGCCAGAATTTTAGAAGATTTACGGTACTAGATGATCTGTGATTTAACAAGCTTACAAATGATTTGAATTTAATCTCACTATGGTATTGTGGCATCAATAGAGTAGAAGTGTTATGAGTTATTGAGCGTATCTTGATCTATGGCTTCGAGCCAAGTGGGGGAGTCTGCTGTGAGCAGCTGATTGCACGGTTAGGTGCTATGTTGGTTCCAGTTTGGGGCATGCGAGTGAATTAGCTATAGCTAGAGTAAAGGAAATTTTTGACAAAGGTTACATTATGCTTCATGGGGAGAGAGAATCACAGGATGTCTTAAGTTGTTATTGGTAAAGAATGCTCGGCGCATAGAGCAGAAAGTTGCGTGGTTATTTTACGATGAGGATTTCATTTTGCGGTATCAGAATGCTAATGAGGTACGGGTGATTTTGTTCATTTGATCAGGTAAATTACAGTTTGAATGAGAGTGAATGATTTTCGAGAATGGTTCTAATATGTTCAAGATTCTACAGGAAACAATCGGGTATTTTAAAGTTGCATGTGTGGTTAGAGACTGAGTTTCAATGGAAGAGGTCAGACTTGCAGTATTTCTATGTGAATTATGGGATTCTATGTATCAGTATCAGTAAAGTAAAGGTAACGGACTTAGATTCGCAGGAAGTTCTTTAGAGTAAAGTATTCTGGAGTGTGGTGTTTCTGGGAATATTTGAGAGAGTATTCAGTGGCTTATGGGTCTTAGTCAGTGTGGTTTTATGCTGTGGTCTCGTGTGGTAAGCCTGGGTTGAGGCATTGGGGTTCTACAGCAAGAGGGAATATGAAGTTGATGATGAATCGGAAGGAAATTAAGATAG